CTATACATGATTTAGATCGTAATTAGATTCATTAAATCTAGTATGAAACAATGAATAAAAAAATACAAACCTTTTTCCATTTTGCGATCAAATTACCATCAGCGTATCCATTTTTTAAACAGTAGTCATAAACTTCCTTTGAAATAGCCTCTCGTTTATAGTATAAATCATAAACGTAACGTGATCTTTGATGGTGCAAACGAAAAATGGGCCACAGGGATTCCACACGACGCTTTCCTTCGTGTGGCTCATTTTCGGCTACAATTTTTGAAAACATCACAAGTAAATCAAAGGAACAAAAGATTTAGACCAGACGATAGATATTTACCATCTTTCATTTTCCTTGCAAATTCTTGCAAGGTTTCTTCGATATCTTCGAAGCCTTCTGGAGGCTTCTTTGTTCGTGCGTGTCTAATTTTTGGCATCTTTTTGAAAGTTTTCTGTTATGTTGATTGCTATAAAAATTAAATAATAAATACTTAAACTTCTCGGCTGATCAATGCCGATCATTTCCGTCATTAGTTACTATGAAAATTATTATTTTCATAGTCAGGTACTGAGGTTATTTATTTGTACTCTGGGCGCCTTTGTTTCAACTAACGCAAACCATTTTTGATCGTTTTAAATTCCGCGACGAAGGGGCTAAAAAAGTTTTGAGGGTAGTATGCTAAATCCTTGCGTCTGCTGGGCAAGCATAGGCATGGTGTTATTGCAAAATGGGAGGACCTTGGAAGAAGTCAAAATTATACTTGATATTAAAATGAGTTGTTTATAATATTTTTAAATAAATCTCTTTTTAATTGGATTTAATTTATGAGGTGTTCAACAGTTTACATAAACTTAAATTATATGTTAATTCAATTGGTGTCATTGTCAATATTTTACGTTCCATTATTCGCTTGGAAAGTTCAACCACAAAATTATTTCTTCGACTTTTCGTCCGTATTCGCGGTCAAATTTACAATTGTAATAAGTTATTTTTATAACCTTGACGTTCACAATCGCATATATCTATGATTGAAAGAGTCGTGATTTGTTAATTCTAAATTAATATATATTGTAATATAAAATTCCTAATAAAGACACAATTTAGATAAATAAAATATCTGTGAATAAATCCTGCCCAATTTCACTAATTGTAACTATGAAGAGACATTTCAAAAAAAAAATTTTTTTTTGCGCTTCACCATAAAGACGGAAATGATCGGCATTGATCAGCCGAGAAGTTTAAGTATTTATTATTTAATTTTTATA